GTTTTACAAACAAATGATAAGGACTAGTAACTGGGTTTTGGCATTAAAGATGACTCATTGTCCAAAATCAAGTATTTTTTTCAAAATCAAAAAAATATATAATTAATATTCTCCGGAAATGTAGTGTGTTAAAGCGCTCAAGATACTGGCGATCTAGAGTCAACTTTCATGACAAAAAGCAATGCAATCGGTTTCGAGAAGATAACTCAAGAAGTACTTGGTGCATTAATTTGAAATATTGCATAACGATTCAACCTGATATATGTATCAAATCTCTTGAATTTGGATATCAATTGTTGACCAATAATAAAAATATACACAAGACAATGTGGCATGTAAGCGCGCAAAATACAAGGCGAATTTGAGTCAATATGTTTATGGAACAAAAACAACACACTCGTTGTTGAGACGACTTTTCAAGAAATGCTTGTTGTATTGGACTGAAATCAAATCTCCTGATAAGTTATCATACACAACACATCACTTGCGAATTTGGAGAGAAACCGTCAAAAATATAATTAATATACTCCGGAAATGTAGTGTGTTAAAGAACTAGCTAGCTACAAATAACTGGAGATTTTAGTCAACTTTCATGACACAAAAACAACTCGGTTTCCAGAAGATAACTCAAGAAATACATATTTGCATGAAATCGACATTTAATAAATTGATTAAACATACAGATGATTGAACAAATCTGTTGAATTTAGTGAGGAATCATCAAACCGAGAGCGTTTTTGTGTCATGAAGTTGAGGCATGGTTTTTCGTGTTGACAATACTTTTGTACTTACGTACACAGTACAGTGGTGACCAATAGCGCGCCCTCTTGTGAAAGAAAAATGAAAATGACATAAATTGGCGGGATTTTCTCCATGTTTCCCCAGTACATTATTTTGGTTATATTGTTTTTATTGTCGGACGATCCCACTCCAAATTCAACAGATTTGTGATATATGTTACCTTTAATCACAATACGAAATATCGATTCAATGCAACACGCATTTCTTGAGTTATCGTCTGGAAAACGAGTGTGTTGTTTTTGAACTATGAAAGTTGCATTCCTGCTTTCAGTTTAAAGACAGAACATTCTTTACGATGGTGACCACTATTTGTGTAGCGCGCCCTCTCTTGAAAGAAAATTAAGTTTAGTTAAATTTGGCAGATTTTTCTCCGTTTTTGACATAAATCGGTAAAATAAATTCTAATCTTAGAATTAAGTGTAGAAATTAAGTATTTTTGTGTTGATTTACGCTGGTCGTCTCACCGAAAGTTCATTATTTTCGTTTGCAGATATTTCATTTGATTGGCCTTGTTTAAGTAAAAAAGAATCAGTTTAACCCCTAGCATTTGCTTTTGTTTATAATTTTGGGTAAAAACGGGAATAGTGAAACTTGGGACTTTCCACAAGTTTGAATTTGGTGTTAAAATAAACAAACTGAGGTTATGACCTTCGTTCATAAATGGAAATACATGTAGGTTATTTCAATTTCACTGGAAGGCAACGATCCCACCCAGCAAAAATAATAAACTGATCCACTTAAACCCCGCCCCATGATATTCTGACCAATCACAGCCGTGATTTAATGTGGTCTGACACGCGTGCATTTGCGTACGATGCGCGCGTCTTGAACACGCATTGCAGCATTGGTTGAGTGGGTCACGCGTTGCTGATGCTCACGTGGCAGTGGGCGCGGCTTAATGACTCGGTTTGCTACATCCACGATCACCATTTACAAAGGAATTTATTTCCATTCTTAAATACGATTTGAAATTCAGAACATAAAGGGATTTCTCTCCTTTGAATTGATTCACAAAATTTAATCAATTTTCAAGTGAAGAAACCCAATAATATACAACAAATTAAAATCAATAATTAAAATAACAACATGAAAATGTTTCCAGATGGTTCTCTCTGAAACCTTCGCATTTTTACATGTGCTTCCAAAACCCATTCAAATCCAACAGGGTGCAGTTGACCAATGAACTGACTAGGAAGTCGAGAACCAGTGTTAGCGATTACACAGTCCTCCAAAACCAGCGTCAAATTGCGACGAGCCAATCCACGTACAACATGAAAACAAAATCGGGACAATTCCTTTTCTTAATTTTCATTTTCATATTAGGGACACATCAAATGAAAAAAAATAAATAAAAACATGAAAAAGAAGTATCAACAAAATACTAAAACGAAACATAAACACTCAAAATTAGTTGACCACACATTAATTTCTAATCATTGGAATCTCATTGTTTCAAGTCACTATGTAACATTTTTGATGTAAGAGACAATACATGTAAAGTACACATGTATAAAATTATTTACTACGTAGCCGCGCTGACAATTATATGAATCTTCGAGAATGAAAAATTGGACATGTTTACAAAGAAGATTTAACTGTCACTGAAATTATTATTGGAACCCACCAAATCTCAACAGATTTTTGTTGAAGGACACATTAGGGTTTGAATCCAGCTGCTGGCAATATGCTGTGTCCTTGGGCAAGCCACTTTACCCCACTTGCCTCTCTCCACCCAGGAGTATAAATGGTTCCAGCATTAGCTGGGGAGTAACCTGCGATGGACTGGCATCCCATCCAGGGGGAGTAGAAATATTCTCGTTTCATGCTACTGAAACTGGAGATAAATGCCAGCCTGATGGGCCACATTGGCTTGTGACAGACTGAACTTACATCAAGGTACATGCATCATGGGTAGTTATGCATAATTGTTAGGAACTTACAAGTTAGGGATCTCTTATACACGCACACCTTGCAGAAAAACTGCAAAAACATTCTTACTTTTAAGTTCGACAAATCACTCTGTCGCCCACTAAAAGTAGGCAACAGATCATTCAGAGTGAAAAAAAAATACACTTAGATTGAAAAAAAAAGTTTGAATAGATTTTTCTCTGTCAGAGTCTCAGGTGTAAAGAAAAGAAGAAATTTCACTCCGAGAGAAATATGGGAAAGAATGTTGCATCCTGACGTCATTTTTCCATCATATATTATCTCAATGAATCAGTCACTGCAAAAATGTCCAAAAGACATGAATCTGGGACTGAGAAACGTGAGTCCAATTTTGTTAGAAAGTGGTCTTAGACTCTCCATAGACTTTGTGCATAGCCAAAGAAGTAGCGTCTGGATACTGCATTCTTTCCAAAAGCGTACCATTACTACTACCTTGGGTTTCAATCTCCGGTTTAACACGTTTTCTCACAAATGCCATCCAGAAAGGAAAAATAGGGATTGATTTCCCTACTGCCTTTACACATTGAGTGTCAACTGTACATAAAGTTCAGGGATATAACTACACAAGTAAACAAAAAAAGATACTAGTAAAATAAAGACCATCAATCTCGACTTGAGACAGTTTTAGCTTCAACCCAAAATATAAAGTACTTTTCTTATTAAGACAAACATATCAATGCAAGATTGAACTGGCAACTCTCAAATAAAATGCCCAAAGTTCAACCCTGTCTAGTCGACACAAAAGTTTGCTCTATAATCTCTGAAATCTGGACATCTATGATAACTTTCCCACTCTTTTCCCTATCAGACATTGTAGTGTGAACCATTCTCCACAGCTAAGTTCTGTACAAAAATAGGTTATTTATTTATATATGATACATAAACTACGTCTACCGAAACAGAAAACAATTCTAATTTTCTCTACGATTGAAAAAAAAAAAAACACCACAATGATCAGTTGCTTGTTAAGATTTCCGTTATAAAATAGATAAAAGGTACGCAAGAATTATTTTAGCTCCATTTATACATAATATTCAAGTAATGTAACATTCGGTATTTGTATCATTATGATATAATGAATTACAATATCAAGAAATTATTCTTAAATTGTTCAGTTCCTGTGTGTTATGGAGCGTCTTTAAAATTGGAATAATTAGCCATGTCTGAATTACTGGGCTACGACTACGGCTTGATATTACACATGAGCCATAGCTGAGTAAGTCAGACACGGCTATCCTTGTTCTGTATCAAACAAATTACATGTCAATGGAAATGCTAGTTCCTGATGGCAACCTAGTATTTTCCCCATTGTGCTGCAAACGGTACCAGACTACTCTTGAGCAAGCCTTGACCAAGGCTGGGTTCAAATTACTTGACTACGGCTTGCAATCACACACGTCTATGGAAAGCGGCGGAGGTCACTTCCCATAGACTCCTGTACTTCCTAGCCGTAGCCACGTCTATGGAAAGCGGCTGAGGTCACTTCCCATAGACTCCTGTACTTCCTAGCCGTAGCCACGTCTATGGAAAGCGGCTGAGGTCACTTCCCATAGACTCCTGTACTTCCTAGCCGTAGCCACGTCTATGGAAAGCGGCTGAGGTCACTTCCCATAGACTCCTGTACTTCCTAGCCGTAGCCACGTCTATGGAAAGCGGCTGAGGTCACTTCCCATAAACTCCTGTACTTCCTAGCCATAGCCACATCATTTGGAATTCACTGAATCTGGGGAACTTTTCAAGAGTTCCAAGTTATAAAATTCCTCCTTTTAAATACCAACAGACCAATAATTTTGGTATTTAATCAAAGGGAAGACATATTCTTAGTTGTTTCAAGAAAGAAACACCAGACTGCCAAGGCTTACAAAGAACTAACATTTAAGAGATCTCGTCTATGGAAATACATAGCTTAATATGATGGAATTAAAAAAAAAAAAAAAAAAGTACACAATTGACATTATGCTGATATACATAGGACCACTCTCCAGAGGGCGCTATTCAATGTATCTGTTCACTGTACACAGAGTTCCATTGTGAGTAACCAGTATTGTAGTACTCATACTGATAGAAATGACTCATACTCAGACAAAGTACTCATACTCATACTTGTCATGCCAGAATATGCGTACTCGTACTAGTACTCAAGGCAAAGTACTCGTCTTTGTATTTGAATTCATGATGACAAAGTACTTCAATGTGTCCTTGTGCCCATGGCAACGTACTCGTACTCAAACTCAGGATGACAAAGTACTTGTGCGTGTACTCATCGCGAAGAACTCACGCTCATACTCAACCACACGATGACAAAGTACAAACTGCAACACTATAAGTAACGCTACCACCTACCATGATTAAACCGGTTAGATAATTTCCACGTAGTTAGCCGGGAAGTATCCCGTGTGACCGTTTAACTCTCCATCGATCCAATTCTCGTCGATCTTACTGACGATGCTGATGATGTCGCCCTCCTGAAACCCCAGTTCGCCCTCGTTTTCTGCCTCAAAGTCGTACAGTGCCTTGCAGCGTTCCTTCGTTGCTGTTACAGGTACTGAGAAATTGGAAATAAATATCACACAATCAGTTGAAAATAGCAAATTTATTCAGTTTGCACAAATTTGCAAGGTACCAGTTACAACTAATATTCACATGACAGTTGACAGATGGTTAGTTGGTGACCTGTTTTTACTGAGCAATATTTTCTGTCCGGTTTGAAAGCCTATAGGTTGCAAACCAGCGAATAAACTGCCATAAACCTCAGTGATAAATACTTCCACTTCTAAAGATCAGGACAAATACTCACACGTCTCTAAAGGTGCTTGAGGCACACATCAAATTAAAGCTCATTTCATCATCTTTCATTTCATCAAGTTTCGGTGGGTAATCCAATGAGTTTTGGGAGAAAATTCCATCCAAAGATGATTACCCCTGAAAGTAGTCCTGAAGTCCATCGCCATTTTGAAAACGATGCCTATGCTCCATTGCAAAATAGAGCAAATTTAGGGACTACGGTAATTTCATCCAAATTTCGTCCTCATCACGGCATGGACCCTTCTTGTTTTACAAACCCTCAAGTTCACGGCCCACAAAATGCTCCAATACATGTAGCAAACAAATTGAGGACATTCAAATGGTGATTTGGCCAGGGAAGGCAATTTGGGGCCTATTTACTGGCCTGCAACCTTAAGCAAACTGTGTGCTGAGCTGGAGCATGAGATCCCTGTTGACTTACCTGGTGCGTTGTAATCCACCGTTGACGGGTACGCGTCGGTGTCGTCTCCGTCACTGGAGTCTCTCTTCGTGGAGTAAGAGTTGAAAGTACTTCTGGGTTTGCGTTCTGATTTGGGTCGACTGCCTGCCTCCTCAACCCTGGAAAGCATCACAGAACATTGAGAAGGATGGTAACTGACAAGTTTGGGTATTATAGTCAGTCAGTCACAAGGCCATCGCAAGGCCATCACAAGTCATCACAAGTCAATCACAAGTCATCACAAGTCATCACAAGTCAATCACAAGTCATCACAAGTCAATGACAAGTCATCACAAGTCAATGACAAGTCCATCACAAGTCAGTCACAAGTCATCACAAGTCAATCACAAGTCATCACAAGTCATCACAAGGCCATCACAAGGCCATCACAAGTCAATGACAAGTCCATCACAAGGCCATCACAAGGCCATCACAAGTCAATCACAAGTCATCACAAGTCGTCACAAGTCAATGACAAGTCCATCACAAGTCAATCACAAGTCAGTCACAAGTCATCACAAGTCAATGACAAGTCCATCACAAGTCAATCACAAGTCAGTCACAAGGCCATCACAAGTCCATCCCAAGTCCATCACAAGTCATCACAAGTCCATCACAAGTCAATCACAAGTCAATGACAAGTCCATCACAAGTCCATCACAAGTCAATCCCAAGTCAATCACAAGTCCATCACAAGTCCAGCACAAGAAAAGTCATCACAAGTCAAGGGTGTAGGTGGGGATGTGGGGTGTAGGTGGGGGTGTGGTTGATCTGTCGCAAATGGAAGAGTTTGAGAAAAGGGATATCAAGTCCAAATTTCAGCCAAGGAAACTCATTTTGGTTAAAATAAGAGCGTTTTGAAACTTCACTTTCAAAATCGAACACTTTACTACACGAGAACAAAGAAACGTCTCCACAAGGATACAAATTTTAGAAGGTGAGGGGGTGGGGGTGTGGGTGGGGGTGGGGATGGAGGGATGGGGGGATGGGGTGGGTGGGGTGTATGTTCTGGACCTCTGATGTTAGGGTTGTTTAACCTTTTATATTTCTTTCTGATTTAAGTTTCACAAATCCGTTGATGACGAGAAGCATCGATTTAGAAAAAAAGTAACCCCTACTTCTCTTCGTTTTTTTTTTTGATTATCAAACATGGACACTTGTGAGTGGGGGGGGGGGCAGATTTCCCCTGTTGGCATACCTTTCATTGAGTGTTGACAGAAGGCTTTCCAAGACCTCCGCAGACTGTTTGTGGTATTCTAGCTGTGCCTCGGCTAACGCTTGAAGCTGTAACACCTGCTCAACCTGTTAAAGAAAACAAGGTGCATTTTCAAGGATTGCATTAAAACAATTAAATTACATGGCAATTTAAAGAATATCTTACACAACAGAATTAAAAAGGAAACCGTCAATCTCTTCACCCATACAATATCGGTATAAATTATTCTTCCATGGTTGAACTGAGAGAAATATCAAAATAAATGTGCAGAAATATAAAGTGAAAACTTGTTCTTGAGACTCAATGAGTGGTATCTGATTGAGTAGTAAGATGCTCTAGTGCATCTTGGCTCATCTTTGCTCCGATTTGTCAGGTACTTACATCACTCTCAAGGAGGTTCCTCATCCCGTTCTCAGCAAGCTCCTGAGATTCGTGAAACTTCTCTTCTGCAAACTGGATTTCTTCTTCAGGAATTGTGCTTCCTGCAACACAAACAAAAACAAGATTGATGAGAACAAAAGTCAGAAATATTGGCTCAGAATTATCCAAGATGCCAGTATTTTCCTGGTGTGGAAATGTAGTATAATTGCTGCATCATGCAAGCATGCATTAACCCTAACAGAACTCAACCATCAAACCCCAACGGCATGTTTAGTGGGAATCCGTCAGGATGGGTACAGTACCCTTAAACTGACAGTCTTTTACATTGGGTTGGCACACCTCCAGAATCAAAGTCAGAAATATGTGTGAGCAGTTTCCCATATGGTGTTGGAATTTGCCAGGATGGGTATGGTTCCTGGTACATCATGCTAGGGAGTTAGAGTTACTCCATCACCATGTACACAATGAGTCATAAAAAAAGTGACCAAATTAGAAACATATTTCAAAAAATATGTGGCTCGCTCTGTTTAATATAAATAGGGGTAAAGTACTTGTTATTGACTAGTAACTGTGAAAATTTCACGTAATTTGCATACTCTATTCCCAAGTAATGAATATTTTGATACAATGATCCAACATTCAGTTGTCCACCACTGATAATTATCATTCTACAAACAAATAAATACCCATTAAATACCATGAAACATAAACGTTTTCCCACCTCCATGAATGAATGGAAAAACGGACAAAAATCGCCATCAATATTTCAGAAAAAAAGAGTGGACTTGTTCCTCGTAATCGAAACACAAAATCTGACAGTAAAAATACTGTTTCAGTCTTGACTCAAATGATTGAAATGTCATTTGTATTTGAATGCCTGTGTGTAATCTGTAATTCTCACTCAGCTCAATAGCTTCCAATGGCATTCCATGGAGCTACATTTTGTATACTTCATTCGTCTATTAAATTTGATTGCTTTTTAAGATTTTTTTGTATTAATCCAGGTTTTTTTTCCAAAATGGCGGGCGGAAGTGATTCAACAACTGCTTCACGAACGAACAAATCATACACAAACATTTCTTCCATGAAATGCTGTTATTATCCTCGTCCAAGATGTTTAGATTGTTTAAAACGTGGCCCATGAACGTCAACTTTCGTGAAATCGATCGTAAGTTCATTGCGTGGCCGCGCAATAAGTTTGTTGCGTGTAAGTCCTACGCATGGCGTAAGTTACGCACTGTTTTGTGAAATCAGCTGCATAACAAAGTTCCGTACTTATTACAACTCACACATATTTAACACTTAGACATTCTCAATTTCGTCCTCGGAAAAGTCACTTATCTACACTTTTCCAAGTTTGAGTCCACGCAAAAATGATTTGGGTCAATTTTTTTCATCAATGCAATTGAATATTGACCAACAAAATGCGCAAACAGGCTCATAAATATGTATGAGATGTAATGAATATTCATGATACCTCCATATATACAAATTCATGTTATTTCTGACAGAATCAACTACAACCGACATTAACTCTTTGCCAGTAATTGTCCTTCTTTAGTAGACAATAATTTACAACAGTTACAAATTACATTCTAAAACTTGTAACACAATATGTCTTTTGATGTTAAAACTAAAAGCACTCTTAAAGTTTACCATTTTGGGGTCAATCTGATCATCTTCCAAAGCAATTTTCTTTTCTTTTTGAATATTGTTTAGGTTTTATTGATAACATAAATTGTCGTATTTCATCACCCAGTAAAACAGACATTTTTGGTCTTTGGACTGTTGCTTGATTTGGATGTGCTTAAAATAAACTGAAAAAAAATGAAATGAAAATGGAATGATAATCTCCAATCAAGAAAACATAGCAGCTGGCTTAAACATGCAGGCAAAGTGAAAATGCTGGCTACGTTTGTTCTATGACATGCTGTTAGTGTTCCAAGCAGGATGTTTAAAAACAAAACATGCAAGTTTCATGAGGACGTTCCCGTGAAATGCCAAACAAAATAAAGGAAGTAACATGCACAAGCTAGCATCAAAACCAAAACAAAACCAAAACTGCAAAATGACAAAGTGAACTCTAATCCAGTTTTGATTTTCAAAAAAAATGACTACCGAGCTTTAGAAATCTGGGATAATATATTTCAAAATAGCGGTGTTTGGTATAGCAACGTTCCACTGTATATGAGAATGTAATTTCCAGTAACCCTGGTTAACCCTTCTGTTAGTGAGCATAAGCCATGTCTGAATGACATGGCTACGACTAACACTAGCCCACATGGGAAGTGGCTTCATCTGCTTCCATAGGTGCAACTAATGTATTAGCCGTAGCCACTTCATTCTGACGTGGCTTTACACTTTTTCCTTTTCCCTTCATTTTCGACTCTGCACCCACGGCGAAATCTACAAATATATAGCACTACTGCCTACTCTATAGCCCAGACTGCTGGCCAAATTTGATAGGCTTTAGGCTGACAATCCATGTGTCCGTTTTTGATGTGCGTATTGCGTTTTGCATACCAGTTGCGTATCTGCGATGCGTACTCTGAAAATCCACGAGTACATATTTCTCGGCACACTTGACCGACGTAAAAGCTCATATTCCCACAATGACTGGTCTTAACACAGCAGGGATAGCGCAATGCGCAATACAGGTACATGGACCTATGTATGTATGCACATTGCTTATCAAACAACTGATTTTTACACATCAGGCAGTGCGCACTACGCATGACGGACACACAGATTTTTGGCCTTATCTGTATTTTCTGAATCCTCAATTAATTCTGATCTATTTCACCACAATATTTTCTACGAAATGCTACGCTACAAAATCGGTGTTGACATACCACCTGCTGCTGAGAGGAACCGACGAAAACGTTTTTACGGGTACATGGAAAGTAAAAATAGAAACATGATGTCATCATAGGATAATAGACCAATGGGCTCTTCGCACAAGTACCCCCTCAACGGTAAGAAAGGGAGAGTTGGGGTCGGAGAGACGACTGGGAGAGACATTTGAACGCATTGCCAACGACGCCTGACGTCACAGGAAGACGCTATGGCTTTGTGCATATTGGGAATGAAAGTAGTCAGGGTACCATGTGCTATACGTAGTGTGCCCCATCCACTGGACTATCGAAAGTGATCAAATAGCTCCCTCTCCTGTTTGCGCATGGAGACCATTAATCTAAGCAGCCGTTGGATTCCTTTGTATTCAGTTTGGTCGTTTTTTTATCCCGAGGCTGTCTAGACCAATCCTGAAGGGGTAGACCTTTATTAGGGACATGTAGCTGGTTAACTAACTAAAACACACTTTTATAAGATGGAATTTTGCATCGGGGTGATATAAATCAAATTAGGTTTTGCCCTTCACTGACGTTTAAACACTGTATACTCGGTGTGTTACCCACTGAGTATACAGTGTTTAAACGTCGTTGAAGGGCAGTTAACCTAATTTGATTTAAAACACACTTCAAAATAGAACGTCATGATAGTACGATACACGTACAGGCTTTCAAGCAGACCCAGGTGAAGAAGTAGGAGAAAAGTAAGGTCAAAATTTACAAAAACCAACAGGACAAAAGTCGGATTTTGGAGGACAGACTCAGGATAAAAGTAGGACTGTAGTGGGCTTTCTGGGGTAGTTTTCGTTGATGCTCGCCCATGCCCACAGCATCATAAGCCTCATTTGGCATGTTCTGTACTCACAACACTTGTGCTCCATCCTCAACTAAGCTCGTGGAAGTACAGTTGCAGTACTCCTGCGCCCAAGCCCTTCATTGTGTGATTTGACAGTGTGTAACACTGCCATGAAAGTTTTCAATGAGATTAAATTTCTTCAGAGTTGTGGGACAAAAATCAAGAAAAAAGTAGGAAAAAATGGAGCACGGTAAAAAAAAAAATATCTAGGAAAAGTAGGAATACTTAAAAGCCTGCACGTACATGTGGACTGAGGTTAATCTATTACATGGACATTTATCACAGTTGTAAATCTTAAGCATGTAGCATTCTACATACACACATTCACAATATTGTTGTAGGGAAAGTACAAGGTAATATTGTGCATTAACAAAGGTCAACAACACTATCTATTCTCATTTTTGAAACTCACAGACAATTTCGCTTATTGTTAGTTCAAAAGTGTACTGAGCTATGGGTGTATACTATGGGTGCTAAGCAAAATAAAGGACCATTCATGACGAGTCTAGGAACTAGACTATTGACATACCGACCAAACCTGCTAATGCTGATGAGTATGTAGATGATGCACAGTGACAAATGAAAGTAAAACATTAATACAGTGAGTGGTAAAAAAAAAATGATGTTGAAATCAAAGGTGTTGAAAATTCCTTCATAGCGACGTCAATTTACAGGATTTCATGATTAAACTCTTCTATTAGAGACAGTTAGGCCTATCGATCAAAGTAACAAAGTTCAGTTCCCGATGACAATATCCACTTTTGGAAACAATATTTGGCAGATCATATTTGCCGCTAAGTGAATATGGTTGACACACAAAGTTCAAACTTTTTCTCGATTGTCTAAACTAAGTTCAAAAAAATCTAAAGCATACTTGAAAACTTGCAAGGAACAGTATTTTAAATGCAATTTTTGTTTTTCTTTTAGTGCAAACAAATATTATACGCATTATACAGTATGTCCAAAATAAATGTCCGTCTGACTATTTTTGAAAAAAATACAAAACCATGAAGTCCATTTTGAAAAAGTTTGATTGTGCAGATACTCCTTAGCCTTGGCCTCAACCCCGATGAGTTTTATTTAATTTCAGTCACGCATCACTGCACACTTGTCAATTGATCACAACAACATTTTGGGACACTGTGACCAAGTTCCTTGCCTTAATCAATTCAGTGCTGTGTTAAGTAAGCTGTGTAAAATCCTGCATGTTGTGAAAAGGGCTGCAATTGGGATTGGAATCATTTGCCTGGCTATCAGTCATCACGGCAAGACCTCGGTTTAATGCTCAAGGGCAAATGATTCCAATCCCAAACCACATCAGACTTTTTTTCTACAGACACTTTTTTGGGACACACTCTATGACAATTAATAATGATAAATTTAGTGTCAGGTTAACAATAACACTTTGGAAGTCTGATGGTTTATTTTTGTTAAAGTTATGATTTTATTAATGAAAGATGATTTGAATATGATGGAGTTGAGATAATCTCAGTGTCGCCTACCTTTTGCTTGCTTCTTCTTTTTGTAGTCAAAGTCAAGACGTCGCCCCTGTAACTTCTTCCGATGGTGCTGTAGAAATGAAACATTAGGGAGAAAGTTAATGTATTGTTTGACAAGAGACATTTGCACATTGCTGTAAGGCACCTTATATAAATTATGGGTCAAAGTGTGACAATTTTCGAGTTCCTGTTATCTCTGAACATGTCATTTGCCGTATCATTAAGAATGACTTCAACAATTTGTTGGGTAGGTTGTCTGCATCACATAATCACTCTTGGTGGACGACTGCATTAACCCTAACCTTCCCAAATCCTCCAAAATTCTTTTTGCAAAATGGAGGATTTTGCAGGATTGAGGCTGTTTGGCAAAAATGTGTAACTAAGTTTGGAGGATGCACTGTGTCAAGGTATTGGGCCGGGCCTTGTGTTTGTTGATGCTCAGCTGTGTTATACTTGAAGTCCTCCGCACTGCTCCAGGATGTCACTGGCTCTGCCTCAACATATTGACAGTGATTGCTGGAGGATTTTGTAGGATTGAGGCAGTGATCATTCTTCCACGGATCACATTCAAGAAATAATGAAGGATTTTGCAGGATTGAGGCTGCATGCAATTTTGACATGGAGGCAGTTGGAGGATTTTGCATCATCATCGCAAAAATGCCCAGGGAGTTAGGGTTAAGAATGACTTTAAACAATTTTGTATTCGTTGTGTAGGTAGTTTGCTATTCATAATCACCCTTGGAGGACGACTGCATTAAGGAGTGCATCAGAATTATAAAATCACAGATGTCAGATGTAACAGGGACAGGAAAAAAGTGGACCCCAAATTTATCGAATGACCCAAAGTACGCAGGCATAAGTTACAACCCAAATCAACCAGTAATCGATCACTTGTCTTGTATCAATTTTTTTCCAGATTGGCCACAATTTGTGCCTAAATTTCCCCGCAGGTGGCTGTGCAACACAGTCCTGCTTCTATCAAAATCAACCAAATTCTGTCAGATTCTGTAAGATGGAACTCACGTTGATCTCTTTCAGATCTTTGTTCTTGAGATGATCCAGGGGATCCAAGAAGTTCTGTCTGACGTTCAGATCGAAGGCGCCCTTGACTTCAGAAAGTTGCCTCAGTGATTCTCCTATCTCGACCATCGCCGTAGCTGTATCCAAAAAATAACCAAAACAATTTTTTTTTTAATGATACCTATAAAAAACAACATTTTATTGTTCTGTTGTTTCCACCAAAACTAAACAGCTGTGCTAAGTATACCCTGGGAGCTGAGATTGTCTATGAAATGCATGGTCTATGAAATGCATTATTAGACAGAGTTAAAAAAAAAACGGTTTCCTGTCTGCTTTTTTTTACCTCCACCATGAGGTACATGTTTTCATCGGCCTTGGTTTGTCTGTGAACAGGATAACTCAGAATAAATGCGGAGGCACTAGGCTCACGTGAATCGCGCACTCCGGACTCCTTCGACCAAAACATTTGCGAGCCTCGTCTTTAAGAACGCGTGCACGTAGTCGTGGCGCGACCTCAAAAATGGCTTTTAACTTTGTTTGCCGGATTACGCTGTATGAGAATGTAATTTCCAGTAACCCTGGTTAACCCTTCTGTTAGTGAGCATATAAGCCATGTCTGAATGACATGGCTACGACTAACACTAGCCCACATGGGAAGTGGCTTCATCTGCTTCAATAGGTGCAACTAATGTATTAGCCGTAGCCACTTCATTCTGACGTGGCTTTATGCTTTTCCATTTTCCCTAATTTGTGCTTGAATTTCCCGGAACGTGGCTGTGCAACACAGTCCTGATTCTATCAGAATCAACCAGATAATGGGTGATGTTAGATTTTGTAAGATGGAACTCACGTTGATCTCCTTCAGATCTTTGTTCTTGAGATGATCCAGGGGATCCAGGAAGTTCTGTCTGACGTTCAGATCAAAGGCGTCCTTGACTTCAGAAAGTTGCCTCAGCAATTCGCTCGACCATCGCCGTACCTGTATCCAAAAAAACAAAAGGCAAGATTTTATTGTTCTGATGTTTCCACCAAAATGAGAACAGCTGGGCTATGTTTACCACGGGAGCTGGGATGGTCTGTGAAATGCATTATTCAGCGGAAATATTTGGGAGAATTGTGCCTAAAGTTGATGATACAAGCATGGCATTTGGCACACAGTCAGAGTATGTCTTATAAAAGGGTCATCACAGATTTGTCCTTTGAAAAAATCTAGTTAACAAGCAATATTCAAAATTTTCAAAATGGCTGCCATTGGTCATTTTACTACCTATAGTGGAATCTGGCGACCAGAATTAGCAGGTTTTTACTGCGGTGGTGTCTCGCTCACACGCATACTGAACGCGTTCTTAAAGAGGAGGCGCGCGCGCATTTTGGTATTCTTATTGGTCGAAGAAGCCTAGAGCACGCCCCCTACCTGAGTGCGACTCGCGCAAACATTGTGCCACCGCAGAAAATGGCTGCCATTGGATTTGTCTATATTTGTTCAAAGGACAAATCTGCGATGGCCCTATGGCCAAATATCTTTCTCGTGACATACTCTGACTGTGTGCCAAATGCCATGCTTGTATCATCAAAGGCACAATCCCATCGCCTATCTGCTGTACTAGTACATGTAGCTACAATATTGTTGGAAACAAATAAACAGACAACTGACACATTTGCCAAATAAAGGGCGAGTAAAAAAAACCGAAACCCAAACGGCTGGACCAACTTTTGAATGAAGTTTTTCCTGTAGCACTTTCAAAATCTAGGATATGAAAGCCCAGTTAGTAAACTTTCTTTTAGTACAAAAATCATTCAAATCACTCATGTACTTTTTAAGTTACGAAATTTTGAACACAACCACCGTTTTAAAGTTCTGTCCACACATCACAAAAATAGGAAGTGTTCTTGCAGCAAAATGAAAACAATTCTCACAGGGATGCAATTGTTTTCATTTTACTGAAAGAACACTAACCTTTTTGTGATCCATGGACAGAACTTTTAAAACAGTGTTTGTGTTGAAAATTCCGTAACTTGAAAAGTACATGAGTGATTTGAATGATTCTTGTGCTAAAACAAAGCCCATTGATTGGGCTTTCATATCCTAGATTTGGAAAGTGCTACAGGCAAAACTTTATTCAAAAATTGGTCCTGCCATTTGGGTTTCGTCTTTTTTGACTCACCTGAATATTGCAAATTTATGTATGCATTTATAAATAAAAAAAAATAAAAAAATAAAAAGTGGGTGCAAAAAAGGCAGCGGGCAGCTACGAGAAACTGGTTTATTTCTTTACTTGGCCTTGCATATATCTGAAGTGCTGGGCACTACATAAATTACACAATACTCATGGTACTATGTTGGTGGATTGGAACACTGATTAGAGCACCTTTTTGAGAGCTTTATGATCAGTCTACCACAGAAGGAAAGAGAATACATCTTGAAGCTTGCTCACCAAACGTTGAATCTTCTCCTAATTCTCTGCCTTTCTTCAGCATGACTTCTCCCAGGAATCCTACGGGTTGTTGAGGCTTGGTTCCTCCCTTGTTCTGACCACGGACTTTGCTCATGGCTCTGGAGACTGTTCAGGAAAGACGATTGATTAGGGTCAGCACACAAATAGAAGATCTATCTCTATTTGGTTTGTTTGAAGTGAATACTTAGACCCGATTCAAACCGGTGTTCTATAGTCACCCCAAACGTAATTATTCCAAAGGTTACAATTAAAGGTAATATACGACATTTGCAAACATCAACAAACAAAACTACCAAATTATTATGAAATACTTTACTTGACTATAGGTGAATGACAGTCTCAGACATCCTGTGAAATCATGGCACCTGGTGTGCTGTCATTTTTAAGAAAAGTGGAATTTTGTATTGATTTCAAAAGATGGTCGGCTGACCATCATAGGAAGAAATTGATTTGTCCAAATAGTGCCCCAATTTACCCAATTTATTTAGTCCACATTTTTTTTGCAAGCGGTTACACATCCGTGAATGGATGCAAGCCAGCTAGTCTGGTTCCCTGAGCTCAGGGAACAACACAAGATCCGGCCCAAGACCTTGACACAGTGCATCCTCATAAATCAGGCACACTTTTTGCCATATAGCCTCAATCCTGCAAAAGCCTACATTTTGCAAATAGGATTTTGGAGGATTTGGGAAGGTTAGCGTCAACGATGTTGCAATTTTGGTTCTTACCTGGATTGGGCTGAAGGTATTCTATTGTCTTATTCACCAAATCATCCACTGTGTGACCTGCCACGTCAATTCTCTAATGAAAAAAAAAAAATACATTACCCAAAGACAATGAGAAGAATTCAATAAGCATAAATAATCTCAAGCAATATTTGCTAATACTAAATGTGTTAAAACTTTTTTTTGCTATGGCAGGAGAGATTCATACCCTGGACTCCGTTGCGTGTACACAACAGAGTCCAACCTGGGCTAGGACTAGGGCTAAGTTACACTTACAGCAGACAGGGCTCTGGAGTGCTCTGAAACGTGCAAAACAAAACGGGCAAAGAAAATGTCCTCAGTATTTCACCAACCAAGTTTGGATACTCAATTCAATTTTTAAAGGAGATTTTTCTTCAATATTTTGCACATGAGAGGGAAGTCAAGTGATTTCAAAATGGGACTAAATACTAGACTGGTACATGTCCAACCATCATGACCATATGGTCCAACTATTTGAAAAGACTGACCTCTTCATTCAGTGTCAATAGTCTGGTGGCTTGACTACGGAGAAATGTGTAGTAAATTGAGACTAGTTCCCGCTTCATGCCACATGTTTCTTTAATTCTTTTGGCATGGTTGATTGATGCAGTACTGAAGCTGTGTTGGACTGGTTGTTTCAGGTGCCAGTCTATTTTCTTGCTTTGCATGTTTTCAATACCATAAGTTTTGGGACTCTCATACACAGTATTGAGAGTCCCAAATTTTCGGACTACACTACACTTACAGTAGTCCGAGTAACTTGGACCCAACTTATCGTCTTTTTAACATGCAGATTTCACCCTCAAAATGGCCTCCCAATTACTAGATAGGCCACCTGAGGTACAAATAGACATCGATGATTAAGATGGTTGTACTGAAGTTTACTTACGATCCGGAAGAAAAGTGAAATTTCCCGTTCAATTCTGAGAGCTCCCCTCGTGATCATGAACACGTTAAATTTCCGACTTGTGTTAATGTTTGAACGATGTGATGTAGTCTTCATGCCCAGCGTACATTCAATGGTCCCCATATCCCAAGTGTGATTCCGTTACCGAGCGCAAAGCATCGATTATGATAATGAGTAGACTGGATCTCGCTTGTGAACACAAGTGGATTTCAAATGGTATAAGACAATCGGGAACTAGCTTGAACTGGTTTCCGGCCATAAAAGCTGTCCTAGTTCCCGACTCTCTATTAGGCCAAAAAAAAAGAATATGACTCTGCCGTTTTCCTCATATATCATCTCAATGAAGGACAGTCATTGCAAAAATTATGCTAAGACATGAATCTAGGACTAAGAAACATTTCCAATTTCAATGTTAGGAAATACTTCAATTTTCTTGACTCACCATAGACTTTGTACCGCTGAAGTGGCGTCAGGTTGCAACATTCTTTCCATGTCTGCTGCCCATTGGAGATCAACCTGCTATCTGTACTGCCATCAATTGCATCATATGCTGCATTCCTCTGACTCTGTGTCTTGCATCACTGGCTGCTCATGGCATGCACGTTATCAATTTCTATTAAAAACCATAGGATCAGAAAGGCACTTTTATCTGTATCTGTATGGTTACGTTGCAGAAGCCTATTCAGGCATTATCGCAACGGAGTATAGGTACTCAAGGCGCTGGCAGTTATGTCTATTATTAGATGAATGAAGTACATGAGAAATATGAGACCCATTATGTAGCACCTTTTATTGGTTTATACGTTGCTGCGGCCAATGCCACGACACCGAGGCGAACCCCTTCTCTTAGCGAACACGTCTTTAACCAGACTGGGACCATGAGTGCATAAAAACGTGCAAAATTACTACTGACGTTTTTTTACTCACCATTTGGCTAATTAATGCCAACACAAAACATACATCAAAATGCTATAGTTGCAAGCATGTCACCTGCAAAATTTGAGACCTTAAATCCAATTTTAAGGCAAGGTTTTGGCAGTTCAAAAACCACCCATGTCAATCTCGATGCTCTGGAAATTGGTGTGTGATTCCCAATGTATTCTGGGTAGGTGTAGGAAGAGCCTTGCAGCTTACTTGTTTTTTAATCAATGGCCAAATGAACATAGCGCCCTCTGCTAAAAAAATGAAACATTTTGCATTCACTCAGATCAACAAGAGGGCGCTGTTTTATCAACACGATGAAAATGTTATAGCTGAGGAGTCTTTTTGCACAATGCATTGCAGAACACATCAATGTGATGTCTCACATATGGATTTCGATAACTCTCTGCAAAATTAGAATTAAAAGCTGAAATTTTGGTGATGCAATGCTCACAACAGCAACTTTGCTAGGCAGAAGTTTCGGGGATTATTGAAGAAACTGTAGTGAGTAAGAAGCTTGCAAATTTGATTCACACTGGTTTTATGCAGCACAAAGTTTTGCACGATATGGATACCTTAAGTTTTGGGACTCTCATACACAGTATTGAGAGTCCCAAATTTTCGGACTAGTCTTTAACGTGCATTATACAACACACGGGACCTACGGCTTTACGTCCCATCCAAAGAACGAAGCAAGAATGGTCAAGTGCCTTGCTTAAGCACAAGTGTCCGCCTGCGGGCTCGAACCTACGTGACACTGTTGCCTCTGAAACACCAGAACATGAGTCCGGTGCTCTTAACCGCTAGGCCATGACATTCCATTTATAACGGCTAAATAAAGCGTGAGTTGGTATTTGCTGGACGTGTACTAAAAGAGCAATTCTTCCGAAAATTGAGGACTGTCCATGCAAACTCAAACAAGGCCTAGCCTAGCCCTAGGCCTAACTGAACTGACATTTTTTTTGCCAGCCATGCCAGCATAATTTATTACGTTTTTATTAGTCAGAATGGGACAAAACTATGCATTCACGTTACGAGTGTCTTACTACGCTGATCTTGAATAACTGCTCCACAAGAATCCTGTATTTTATTCTGAAATTTACCTTTCCCCAAAACGAGTTGTGGATCACGTTGCAATTTCCCCATGTGGTGATATCTGGCGCCAGCTGTCAACTGATAAAAGAACTGCGCCCTCTATTGATTCGATAAATAGCGCCCTCAATTGATAAGATGAGTGGCGCCCTCTATTGACCTTTCCCGTTTGGGGCAAACAAGTGGGGCGAGTTGGTAAGGGGGCGAGTTGGTAACTGTATGGTCAGTAGAGGGCGCTGTTTTGTTTTTCAATAGAGTGCGCTATTTATTGGATCACAAATTAGCTGTTTATGTATATCAATAGAGGGAGCTCTTCAAATTTTCAACAGAGGGCGCTATATCGGACAAGTAGAATGGCATAACCGGAATTAAGTGATCAGTTTATAGTTGCTTGCCCGTGCAATTTTTTTTTTAGTTTTGACAATGAAAAATACATTTTGTTTTCAAATTCCTATTTTTCTAGCAATATGAAAGCTTTGCACTTTGTAATGATGGAGACATCTATCGAAACGATCCGCCCACGTTTAATTATAGAAGTTTGATGTTACAAAAATTTCGAACTATTTAAGAGCCCAATAAATCCCTCGAATCTTTAAATAAAGCTTATAATTTTTTTCTCTGACGGCGTGAAACGTCCGAGAGCGAAATAGAAAATCAAGTGGTTATATTGTTTAAACTAGTAAACCAAACAATGCGGGTAGAGCTACTTTAAAAGCCTGAACTTTTCACTGAAAAGAAACAATGTAGTGTGCATGTGACTGTCGCAAAATTACACCGTTTTTTTTAAAGGTAATTACAATGTTAACATTTGGATTGATATGATGAAAGGTGATTTCAAGTGTAATGCTATAGTAAACCATATCCTTCATGTGCAATCATAGATGTACTGTGCTGGACAAGCTATTTCAAAAATTAAGTGACGCATCGAATTGAATTGTGGCCAGATGATTGGTCATGAAAATTAGACAAACAAGACAGAAGATTGAGACAAAATTTTGTTTTGCTCTTCCTCAACAGTGTCATGTGTCGCAACACGGAGAAAAACTTGGCGATGGGTTGCAGACGCAGTCCAAACAGAACATTTGCCTCACCTTTGCACAGAAACGATAGTCCAGCTGGGCACGCTATAACAAAACTTAAGTGATGCATCGAATAGAATTGTGGCCAGATGATTGGTCATGAAAAGCAGAAAAACAAGACAGAAGATTTAGACAAAATATTGTTTTGCTCGTCTTTAACAGTGTCTTGTGTCGCAACACGGAGAAAAACTTGGCTATAGGCTGCAGTCACAGTCCGAACAGAACATTTGCCTCACTTTTGCACAGAAACGATAGTCAAGCTGGACACGCTATCTCAAAAAATTAAGAGACGCATTGAATTGAATTCTGGCTAGATGATTGGTCATGAAAAAAAGACAAACAAGGTAGA